GACAATATCATGCTACGGGGTTCTGGGGGCGTTACATTAATGATTTTGCTTGGTGCTCCATTGGTTCACCGAAAATTGGCTCCCCAAGCTCATCTTCATTTTCAGAACTTGGAATTTGCTCCATATGAACTTTGTGTCTCTCATCATCTTCATAAAAATCATCTGTTCCAACCACAGGAATAACGACATCTGCAAATGGATCATAATCTTTATCAACATGCCCACCATCATAAGGAAATACATCCTCGTGAAAAACGTCACGAGTGTGAAATATTTATTTGGTCTCTAAGTCCAACAACTTATATGCCTTCATTCCCACGGGATAGACTACAAAGACACGCTTTGGCACGTGGACTAAACTTGTGTCGTTGGTTAGTCAAAGTTGAGGCAAACGCAAGACATCCAAATGTACGTAACATGGAGAAATCTGGCAGCTTATCATATAATACCTCGTAAGGAGTTCTGTTACCAAGAATCTCAGAAGGCATCCTATTAATCAGAAATGTAGCAGTTAAAATACATTCTGACCATAATTGAAGAGGTACCTTAGATTGAAACATCAACGAGCGAGCCACATTTAGTAAATGTTGATGTTTGCGTTCCACAACCGAGTTTTGTTGCGGCCTCTCAACATAAGACCTTTGATGCAATATACCTTTGTCAAGAAAGAAATCCGTAAAATTCTATTCTCGAGCATTATCTGTACGGAAAGCCTTAATTTTCACACCAAACTGGGTTAATACCATATTGTAAAACCACGGAATAACTTGGATCACATCTGACTTATTTTTAACTAAAAACACCCATGTATATCGGCTGTGATCATCAACCAGCGTAAGAAAATATTTGTGTCCATTTCTATCCGGTAAATGAAATGGTCCCCAAGTGTCAAGATGCACAAGATCAAAAGACTTATCACAAACATTGTTTAATGAAACAAACGAAAGTCGTTTCTATTTCGACTAATGGCAAATAGTACAATTACTTTCTTGTAAACTTGTCTTGACATTCAACAAATACTTTATTACAAGTAATGTTCTATTTGATGGATGGCCAAATCTTTGATGCCAAACATCTAGAGAAACTGCAGAAACTTGATTTACCGCCACCTTCTTATGTTCCTCCAGAACATACAGCCCTTGACATTGATCAACCTTGCCAATTATCTTGTTGATCTTCTTCTCCTGAATTAAACCATAATTGTGATAAAGTTGCACCATGAATTTCTGATCAGAAGTTAGAGCACTTACTGAGATCAGATCATGCAATAACAAACTATTGTTAACCATCTCATATCCAATCAATTTCACTCGAACAGATTCATTCGTAGGAAGTGTAACGAAGAAATTTGATAACGCTCAGAATCTAATATCCATGCATTAGAAGATATAAAGCCAATTCTATACGAAAGAGAATAGCATATACCTGAGGATTCTTTGCACCGATCCTCATTCTCGGTAGTAGACACTGACTGACCGATCAGATGTCTAGATAAAGCCGATAAGAGTTGTTGACATTGAATCGATGAAAGACCTTTGATCACGCTGTTGAGATCTTTACCAGGAGGTGCAATATATCCTTCAACAGAAACATTATTTACTCTGTTTTTCGACTTGTATCCGATTAGATACCCGTGCAACTTATAGCACCTGTCTTTAGTGTGACCCTGCAATTGACAATGGGTACAAAAAGGTCTTTATCGAGAATTAAATCGGTTACCTGAGTTTGGCAATGAATTGTTGGTGACCGATGTTTCAATCCAGAAGATTCGGTTTTCACATTTAGCACCATAGAGTTATTATTAACAACTTGTTATTGCAACTGTCCAACGTTTCTTTGGCGTTCTTCCTGAGCAACTAGAGAAAACACCTTATCAACTTGAGGCAAGGGCTCCATTAGTAAAATCTGACTACGTATTTGAGAATATGATTCATTGATCCCCATGAGAAAAGTCAAAACATGCTCTTCTTCATAATGTTTCTCGATCTCATTGTTTCCACCGCAGTCACACTTTCCACATCTGCAGTGAGGTCTAAAATAGGCTAATTCTTCCCATAGAGCCTGTAATTTGGTGAAATAAATGTTCACAGCTTCTTGACTCTGTCTCAAATTCACGAGATCTCTTCGAATTTGAAAAATTCGTGGTCCATTGCTTTCTTGAAAATGATTCTTGAGAGTTGTCCAAATCTTGTGCGTTGTATCAGCGTACATGATGCTACTTGCAATCAGTTTGGAAACTGAATTCATCAGCCACGAAATCACCATATTATTGCTTCAAATCCATGAACTCAGCAACACTGGATCTGAATCGTTTGGCTTGACTAAAGATCCGCCAATAAAACCGGTTTTGTTTTTGACAGATAAAGCAATCATCATAGATCTGCACCAAGTAGAATAGTTATCCCTTACGAGAGGCTGAGAAACGAGAACCATTCCTGGACTATCAGAATGATGTAAGAAATATGGATGCAATCTGTCATCGATTACTGCTATTGAAGAATTAGAATGGTTAGAAGAAGAATTAGGGTTATGAGTAAAAGAATTTTGATCCGCCATTTTTAGTTGAGAAAATTCAGATCTGAAGAATTGTAATGAACAATCGCACAGAGAGAGCGTGAGAGCTCTGATACCATATTACAAAAGTATGAAATTGGGAAAACAAAAAGTGTCTTGATAACAGAGAAGAAGAGTATTTATATTACAATAAAACAAAACCTGACAAACTATAAAAAAGAAAAGACCAAAAGGCCTTTTAGTGGTAATATCCTTATAATCAGAATTTTGATTCATAGGTTCAGTTATAACAAATGCATCACTCACTCCAATAGGAATCCTTTTCACATGATCTTAAATCTCATACTTCGATTCTGAACTTTCAGGCATGTTATTTTGTAGATTCCTTGACAAAATTATGGAGATGTACAACTGCTTTCTTTAAAATAGAATGCTCATTCATACCTATACCCAGACCATAGGATTATAAAGCCTTGTATACTTTGGATTACTTGTAAGTAAATTCAAAATATGTCGAGTCTGGCCTCTTTTGAAGTCAAATCTTCCAATTCTTTAATCTCTTTGTACAGTTCAAATCTTTCTTTTGTAAAAAAAAAATCATTTTTTTATTCTAAATTTCTTGTTTTCATACTCTTCCTTCACAAAGTCTTTCTTAAGTTCATATATCTTGTTCAAAAATAATGTTTTCTCTTTTCAAAAATCTCACTCTTTTCCTTTAAACACTTGGACTTAGTTACTTCTTTTCCATCCTAAACCTATATACCAAGATCCTTTCAACTTTTAGCTTTTTCTTAATTTTAACAAATCATCATTCATTTTAGCAATAGTATCTCCAAATTCTTGTTCAAAAGAGAACTGTACTTATGAAGAATCAGACTCATTTCCATTGATGCAGCATGCATAGAGTTTGCCTCAACAAAATTAGACTTTGCAACATAACCCATCAAGCAAAAATATGCCTCCTCATCTTCAGAATCAGAAGACTCATCTAGCTAATTCTCTTGTTCTGTCATGAATCCTTGCCCTTGTTCCTTGTTCCTTTTTCTTTGCTATTTGCATCTTCCTTGCATAGTAATCTAAATTCTTCACCTTTTTTTTATCTACATTCTCTTGGAAAATGATTTGGTTTCCCAGAATTGTAGCACTTAGAAACCTCAACCCCCACCTTCTTATCATCACTATTTCGTTCCTTCTTCTCTTCATCATTATAACTCTTTGAGCTTTTACCCTTTTTTTTTATTAACCTGGATATCCAACCCGCTATCGGCTATTTGTTTCAACTCTATACTAGAACTATCATCATCAGAAACAGAAGTGCTTGAGATCAATGGAAACTAAATTACTTTCTGCGAGGACCTTGAGAACTTAGTACTTATCTTGTGTTCTTCCCTAACACGAGCTAAAGAATCAAAAGCTTTTATTGAGGATTTCTTTTCAGCCATTATTTCTTTGGCCCTATCTTCATGTTGATTCAGATTACCAAAAATATCATGGATGTCTTTCTTGTTCAGATTTTTGTTAACTTGCAAACTCTCAAAGAAAGACTCCCACACAAGCCTCATATTTATCAAGAATTTTATGTTGATCTCACTGTTTGTCTTATGATCTTATGAATACCATTTCTTCTAAGATCATTCAAAATATTATTGAAACTTTTGTAAGGGTCATACAAAGATTCTGATTCCTTTGCCTCATATGCACCAATACAATTGTTTCAACTCATTTTGCAAAGATTTATCACCACCCTGAATCTGAGCCTCAACTTCATCCCACATCTCCTTAGTTTTCTTCAAACTGTCCACTCTATTGAAAATTTCATTTGGTAAGGCCATAGTTAATAGTGTCGAAGCTCTTTTGTCAGAATAAACTCTCTTCTTTTCCTTTTCATCATAATTTTTCTTGTGTTTCTTGATCTGAGATGCTGGAAGTGCAGGTGTAGTATTTGTAACAGTAACAGCAAGAATGTTCACATATGGCTCATAAGCACTCTCTTGGATAGATTTCATGAGATCTTCATCGATGCTATCTAAGAAATTGTACCATTCTAATTCCCCTTTGATGATAATCTCCATAGAAAAGAGCAGGAGGTTTGGTTTCAGATGCAGTACTCACAATTTCTTTCTATATTTTCATATATTGAGCTTTATACTATTGAATTAGCAAATTGATCCATGAATTTCACGATCTTGTGATCAAATTGTTCATAACGTTTTCGAATTGACCGAATTGCAATTGCTTATCATTGATGCCAGTTGAAAGCGCCTTGTGATATGAAAATGAGTGATCTAACTGTAATCTAGTTGATAGCACGTGGAATAACAGTAGAATCACAAAAATATAATCAAGAGTAGTAATTGATCAATGGTGTAGTCATCATGTCATTCATAAACCAAATGGTTACAGGTATAAAGAGTTTAGAATCTATAGAGAGATTCTCTAAGCACAGATAATTTATATTATAATTGAGTTCTATTGAAAATGAACAAGCTTGCGTACAATTACAAAAAAGACTTTCTATTTATAGTACATGACAGTGAAGTCGGTTAACATCTAAAGCAATAGTAATTTTCCACGTGCTTCATTAAATCTTCTGCATTGCTTAACTCTTCTCAGCTTGATCAGAGATCTGACTTGAGTATAACTTCTTCTGGTTCATCATGATATCATAACTCTAAGTTGCTACTTCAGTATGTGAAGTCCATCCGGGTCTCTGACTCTTAAGGTTCAGAGTCTAACTTGCCTTGTCCAGAGCTCTGACTCTTCTTCAACACTTATTAGAACATTCATCTTCCAGACACTCTGGTTCTAACAGTAGCCGCTTGTTGATGATAGATTTGTTTTGAGTAAAGGCAACACTTCATATGGCTTCAACCCATAGAAATGTTGGACAATTAGAATATGACAACATAGTTCTAGCTGCTTCCACCAATGTTTTATTTCTTTTTTTAACTACCTTATTTTGTTGTAGAGTTCTTTCAGTAGAGAAATCATGAGAAACCCCAACTAAGCTAAAAAAATATATGTATTGTCTTATTTTTTTGAATTCTGAGCCATTGCCACTTCTCACTTTTTGCATCTGTAATTGAAGAAACATCGGAATGCTCTTCATGAAAGCTATAATAACCTCCGGAGCATTATATCCTAAATACTCATCCACCATCACAAGTATGTACTTCTTTCTATTTATACTTTAAACTCTCATGGGACCACACAAATCCATGTGAAGTAGTTCCGGAGGTGATTTGCATGAAGATTCCATCTTTGCCTTGTGTGAACTCCGCTTAATCTTGCCCATCTCACACACAGAGCATAGGTTACTTTCCAAACCTAAGCTCTAGCAATCCAACCACTAAATCATCTCTCACCAGGTTGTTGATGGTATTGAAATTAGATGTGATAACTTCCTATGCTAGATCCAACTCTCATCTTTGGATGCCTTTGAGATCAGACATATAGTTCGAGGTATCTCAAGAGTTGAAAAGTTTAAAATGTAAGAATTACCACATGTTTTAGCATTTAGAATATTTTGACCATCTTTATCTTGAATTGAACACTTACCGAATAAAATACCCCTTGTCACAAAATTGACTTATATTGAACAAATTATGCTTCAAACCTTCCACATAAGCAGCGTTTAAGATTGTGACTTCCCCAGTTATCAATACTCTGTGTCCTTTAATATACCCTTTATTATTGTCCCCAAAAGTGACTTCCCTCATATTTTTCTTTGAATTTGGTCAATAAGCTCTTGTTACTTGTGATGTGTCTTAAACACCCTGAATTTAAATACCACACATGACATACTTGAAACAATGATCAAAGAGACTACTTAGGTACTCGTCTTTGAATGGGTCCTCTTATGTTAGTATGAATTAAGGATGTAGGACTTGATGAAGCCATGGATTCAGATTTGGGCTTCCACCTCTGAACAGGTGTTCATGGTGCCTCATAACTTTGTTAATAAGTTAGTATGGCTTTATACCAATCTTGTCCAGTCCATTAAAACATGGAAGAATTCATTTTTAGTTTATGTTGGCCACAATTATCACAATGAATATAGTTTTGAATCATTGATAACATATCAGCACACATACAGTTAGTAAAACAAGATTTAACATGCTTCACAAAATGACCAGCTAATGATTGAACATGCAATTTTTATTCAAAACTATCAACTTTATTCTTGGTGATATTCTTTGTACAGGATTTTGATTTCTTAATTTCAAAGTTCAGCTCTATTTTGACTAGGCTTCTTCACTCTCCAAACAACATTTTGTTTCCTTTTGACATATGAAACATGAGAAACTTTCATGTTAGGAGAGGAATGAATAACATTCTTGCCTTTTTTAGCTTTTGAAAATCTTTTAGCCTTAGGCTGAGCATTTAAAGATTCATCCTTTTGTGTTGAAACAGACTTGTCTTTTTGTTCTTCCCCTAAAACTTCAGTTGTTTTAGACTTCAGATTTAGTTCTACAAACTCTGGATTTGAATGAGTTCTCCAAATATTTTCTTTTAAAGAGCATTTTTTTATTAAAAAATCCTTAAATATTTTGCTGCTAACAGTTTTTATTTTATAGAAAAACAGGACCAAACTCTTCTTCAGAAGATGTATTAACATTCTCTTCAAATTTCAAAACTTTATCCAGAGTTTTAAAGACTAAACAAAAACATCCATCCTTCTCTTTAACAGCATGAGTTCCCAGAGTTTCTTCCTCTGTTTCAGAATCATATCATCAGCATTCATGATTTCA